AGGACTCCTGATGAGTGAGGGGGATTTGCAAATCTTTTTTTTTTTTTTTTTCTGGTTCAAAATTTTTATTTTTTTAAATTGTGATTTGGGTGAAAGTTTACAGAGCAGATTCACTTCCATACAGCAGCTCACATACACTTTGTCTCATGACATTGACTACAATTTACCAAATGCAACAGCTCCCCCCCTGCTTCCTCCCCCTAGTTACCTCTTCCTTGTGTCCTTCCCTCCAAATCTTTTTTAAATAAAGATTTCCTTGATATGAAGGTAATTGCTCATACTGGAGCCAGATAAGCCATTTGACTTGCTGTCATTGAGATGGATTACTTTAGAAACTCTTAACATTAATTTGGGTGTTTAATGGGTTTTATAAATGGTACAGTATCTTCATACAAGGCCCTACCTCATTGGAAATGTGCAGATGTTTTCCATTATTTCTTAACATTTAAATCCTATTTCCTTGTGTGAATCAGCAGTCTTCAAGTCTGTCTATGGAGAGGGAGTACACAGCTGGGAAGAAATAAGGTGGTCAGACACATCAGAGATTAAGAAGTTTTATGAGAGGGTATCGGAAATGCATTTCCTATAATTACGTGACTTAACATTACTTGAATGCAGTATACTTTTGGGTTGAGACATGAGCAAATGAGAATATATGCTTCTAGTTTTGGGTCTATTATGACTTTATTTCAGGTACTTGAATGTTGAGGATGTATTAAAGCTGTTGAACCCAGATAAGCATCAAGAATAGCCTTCACTCAATTATATATCAATAAAAAAATGGTTATTTTGCCACTTGTGTTTTACTTGAGTAATTTTTTTTCTTTTAAATCTGTTTTGAAACTCAGTAACCTCTTCATTTTCCAACTTTTATTGCAGTGCCTGATCAACTTTCTAGCAGGAGAACGATCATGGAGGTGGTGCCAGCTGAGGTGAATAGTTTGCTTCCAGAGGAGATAATGGACACTGGTATAACGTTAGTGGATGATGATAGTATTGAGGCTGTTATTGTTTCATCCCCAATTCCCATGGAGACAGAACTGGAAGAAATTGTCAACATAAATTCTACTGGTGACTCTACAGCCACGCCCATTTCCACGGAACCAATTACAGTGTACAGTAACCACACTAACCAAGTTGCAGTGAATACCACAGTTACTAAAGCAGATTCTAATACCACAGTGAAACCAGCTTTTCCAAGTGGCCTTCAAAAACTTGGTGCTCAGACTCCTGTGACTATATCAGCCAATCAGATTATTTTAAACAAAGTATCACAGACATCTGATCTTAAACTTGGCAATCAGACCCTTAAACCAGATGGACAGAAGTTAATTTTAACAACTTTGGGCAAGTCTGGTTCACCAATTGTTTTAGCACTACCCCATAGCCAACTACCCCAGGCTCAGAAAGTTACAACTCAGGCCCAGTCAGGAGACGCAAAGTTACCACCACAGCAAATTAAAGTAGTTACCATTGGAGGGAGGCCAGAGGTGAAACCTGTCATTGGTGTCTCAGCATTGACCCCAGGAAATCAACTGATTAATACTACAACTCAGCCCTCTGTGGTACAGACCCAACAGTTAAAAACAGTACAGGTAAAAAAAAAAACAAAAACGGGGGCTTATTAATTAAAATGCATGTTAAAAAATTAAATTGGTTTGTAGTTGTGTTTGTAGGGTGATTAAATATACAGTTGCTACTGAATTTTTTGAATGTTGCTTTTAGTAATTGTGAGTTTTTTTAAAGTTTGATATGTTCATTCCTTGTGAAAATTTTTGCCAGAGAACTTACAGCAAAAATAATTTTGGTTACTTTTCTAATTGTTTTTGTTATAGCCTTCCACTCCTTTTAAGATCCATTTTATTTTTGTGGTGGTTTGATTACAAGGATGTTTTGCTGGAATAAAGATGCCAGAATTACTGCTGGGCTGCTAAAGAATGATTCAGACAATTTGGTTTTTTTTTTAAACTTTGCTGCTCTGAGAAACCCTTGGAGCCAATAGTAATGTGTACTAGCTAGCGTGGGCTACATCTTCAGACTTTATTGTCCATTGCCATCTTTCATGTTTGCGATATGGAAAAGGCAATGCCACATGATAGAAAATAACAGAGGTTTCAGTTACCTCTATTTACCCTACCAAGGAGCTCTGGTGGCATAGTGCCTAAGGTACTTGACTGCTAACCAGAAGGCTGGAGGTTCAAACCCACCAGCCACTCCTTGGAAGGAAGATTGGACAATCTACTTCTGTAGTGATACTGCCTCAGAAACCCAGGGAGGGGTCACTATGAATCGAATCTGACTCCAGAGCAGTGAATTTTGATTTTTTTTTTTTTTATGTTACTCTATTAGCTATGGAATTTTGGGTGATTTACTGTCTTTGACTTTGTCACTTTATTGTAAGATGGCTTTTCAATCATGCTGAAATATATGGTAAAAAAGTAAGTACCTAGTGTTTTTTCCAAAAGGTTGAGGATCCTTCAAATTGCTACCTATTATTATATGAATAGGCCCCTAAGAGAGAAGGTTACCAGAACATTTATTAAATGGTTCCCAGTTTCTCATGCTCCAGTAGGCCTTTTTAGGTTACCACTACTCTCAGAAACACTATTATCCACTTGAGACCAGAGAACACGAATTTGTGCCCTGTTTGAAAGAGTTGCCTCCTTGAAGAGAGAGGGAGTTATGAGTTAAAAGTAGTAAAGCAGGTATATAAGGAAGTAATAAGGCTTGGGGAGGTATCCACTCTCAGCTGATATTAGAAGTAATGCTTTTGTTACTATATTGACAAAAAATTAAAAATATTTTTCATGGACTTTGTATTTAAGAACTTTGTAAGATTTCTTAACCCTTGTAATTTGCCCTAGTCCCTTCTACCACTGTTAAAGATTCTTTAGTGCCCTTTTCTTTCTTGTTCATTATCATGTCCCCCTTATCTCTGGCTTCCTTTTACTTCTTCCTTTTGATGGGGGTCTCTTTCATGAGATATCCTATCACTATCAAGCATCTTGTCCTCAGCTGATGTTTATTAGTTTTGGAACTTGTTTTTATTAGTCTACCAGAACTTAACTGGCTTTGATAATGTGGATCATAAATAACCATGTTCACAAGAAACTGAAAACATAAACTAGGTTGTCACTTTTTTCATTTGTAACAGCCATGTATGCATACCATTTACATGACCAGTGGGCTGTTTCTACTAGTTTTCTATGGTAATTCCCTAAATACTAATAATAAAAACTAAGACTGGGATCTAATTAGTATACCTTGTTTTATTGTTGTTGCTTTCATCAAACCTGATTCTATTTGTATATGACAAAGATCTTCTGTTTAACAAAAACAGAAGAAACCCTATTACGAGTATTATTCTACTTCTCTAATTATTTTTACGCAACTCAGATCTTTCCAAGTCAGAAGTAACCTGCAAACCTCTGATACATCGAGGGTTGGCAGAAAGTAAAAAGCTACACATGTGTGTTTTTCCTTTTTAGGCACCAGAATATTTGAGTTTAGTATGATTCTCTGATTTTTTTTTTTTTTTTCCTTAAACAATCCTCATCATTGTCTTAAGTTTCATCAGGATATTAAGACTGACCAGGTATAGATAGCAGGTAAAGGAGGAAGAAGAAAACCCATCTTGAGAAATAAAGGAAAGATGTGATAGTTGTGGCCAGAGGCAGAAACAAAGAGTTATAGGTATACTTAGTTACAAATACATAAACACTTTCCTATGTTTCATGTGTGTAGTATATAAGAATAGTAAATGATAGGAGTCAGAACAGTATAACTCCTTACTTCTGAATCCATCCAACACAATGTCAAAAATTACCTCACTGCATTATTTGATAACGTTTGGCTACCTCGTTTGTAAATCTCCTTTTCTGATATATTTTTGTTTTTCATCTCCTGATTAGATAAAATTGTTAAAAAATGATCCTTTTTACTTTTTAATAAAATAATGTTGTTTTAGGATAGTTTAGCATTCATAATGAAGAAATTCATGGTTCTTTAATGGAACTGCAAATTGTTATTTTCAGCAGTGCATCACTAAAGAAACGTAGCCACAAGGACAAGATGAGATTGTACATTTGAATAATTTATGTGCTTTTGGCTATATTGTTTAAATTTTTGTCTTGCTTGGTAAGTATTCCTGTAAGTTATATAATTGTGAATGTGGTTACAAATGGAGAAATACTCTAGACTCTTAATGTTTACTTTATAGCTAAGGTTATTTGGATTTCTAAGAACTTCATTACTTCTACTTTTTTAAATCACTAATGCTAGTAGGTCAAGTGCTAACTTATTTTAGAGTTTTAGACCTGTAAATGCTCTTGGGCAATATTTTCCCTGTATATCACTTTAAACTGTACCAGCTTTTAAAAATAGAATTATGGATTTATTTGAGTTTGTAATAGTTTTATCAGTTGTGTGTATTTAAAAAATACAGTAATGATTCTCCTTGTTTTGTTTTTAAGACGTGATTTGTATTTCATTTACTTTTTGTGTTCTGAATATAAGAAACTAATGTATTCTGAGTATAAGAAAATGTTACTTCATTTTAGTTTATAACTTGTACACCAAGAACTGATATTTAGCTAATTCTATAAGCTATTATAGCTTCTGATATATTTCTGTCACTCAAGTTGCTCATGTTTATTCCTTTTGAGTCATTATAACTAATAATAAATATGTCTGTTCAGAGTCTCACTTTCCATATCTGCCAAAAGGTAATATTTAATGTCCTTCCTGTTCTAAAAGTCTATGATTTGTATTTTTATCAAAGCTAAATTTCTGCTTCTAACTTTCAGAGGAAGGTTTTTCTTTGCATATTTGATAATTTCAATCTAAAAATACTGGTAACTCTATATTCCTTGATTAGTAGAGAACTTCATTTTAGTGCTGGCATGTAACTTCTATGAAGAAAATATAGACCCTCCCTTCTAGGCCTTTAGAGTATAGTAAACAGTATTTTCGTAAATAATATTTTAGAGACTTTGCCTTTAGAATAGCCTTTGTTCTAATCAAACTTGTCTCTTTGTACCAGAATACGTTCACTTGTTCAGTTCTTCCTTTATCTACTTCTGATGTATAGGTTTGAAGTTGAAAATCTAATCATAAATATATCTTTCATGTGTATTTATATTTTGCTTCAAGAGGCCAATGTAATTATATTTACAGGCAGCTTCATTATTTATACTATACTTTCTTAAATAACTCTATTCCCTCTTTTTTATTATTGAATAATTTACTTTGAAAAAGAATGTTGCAATGCCATGGTATTCTTCTTATTATTAAATATTAGTTTAGTTTTCTTCATTTGCATATATCCCAGAAGCTAAATATAAGGGTTTTTATAATAAAATGAAAGGTGTTATTATATATGTGCTTATGTGCTCATATTAATATTTTGATGAATGGCTGCATCTTACATGTTTTAAATATTAACCCTTAAATACTTTTTGTCAAATAAGCTGGTTTTTCCTGTACTATTGTGTATGGCTCTTCTGTCTAAATTTTGATTGAATAGGTATTTTATAGAAGCAAATGGTCTTCACAGTTATTTATATGTTTCAGATTGCTAAGAAGCCTCGAACACCAACCTCTGGTCCTGTAATCACGAAGCTGATCTTTGCAAAACCAATTAATAGTAAACCAGTTACAGGACAGACAACTCAAGTATCACCACCAGTCATTGCAGGTTATATTTCTTTATGGTTTATTAAGCTATATATTTACCTTCCTGTTAGGTTAGAAAGGAGTTCTGGTGGCATAATAGGTAATGGCTGGTAACTGGAAGATTGGCGATTCAAACCCACCAGCTGCTCTGTGGGAGGACGATGAGGCAATCTATATCTGTAAAGATTCACATTCTTGGAAATCCAATGGAGGTAGCTATGAGTTGGAATCAACTCAATGACAGTGGGTTTGGTGGGTTTATTAGGTTTAAAACAGGCTATTCTCCCACCTTAAAACATTTTAGTGCAGCAAGTATAGCTTATTAATATAAACCAAACTACTTAATAAGAAATGCCACGTTTACTCAATGTGTATTTCAAAGTGCCTTATCTCAAAATCGTCCATTACTTTAGTCTATCCTTAGTTTTCGGTAGAATTTTACAATGAAAGTATCCAAATACTAAACTCTAAAAATATTAGCTAACATTTATATATCGTTTACTGTGTACCTGGCACTGTTCTAAGATCTTTTACCTATAATGACCCATGTAATCTGGCAGTCCTATGAGATAGGATAACATCCTGATTTACCAGTGCGGAAACAGACTAATATATGGCAGAGCTGGGATTTGACCCAAGGCAGTTTGTCTCTAAGTACATGTGCTAAGTCTAGTAGATTTAAATTCATACATATTGGAGTATAGTATTTCATGGTTTCTGTTTGAAATTTTGGTTTCAGTATTTTAATGTGCCCTATATACTGTTTTCTATGAACAGAAAATTGTCCCAATGATAATTACTTAAGTGATAACAAATTATAGCTATATTACTTTTACCAGCAAACTCCTTAGGGTGACCCAGTTCTCTTTCATTATATACTTTAAAATTTGTCATCACTAATAACTACAACACCTCAAAATCTTATCTTCAAGTATTCCTTTCTTTTTAATCCTTCAGTTTAGCTACCTCAGACTCCCAGTCTAGCAGTTCTTTGACTTTGAAATCTCTATTTATTGACCCTTTCACTTTGGCATTAATAATCACCCCTTTCCTGTCCTCAAATGCTTCCTTATCCTTCCTTCCAAATACTACTGATTCTTTTTCCCCTAGAAATATAATGGTCTGATCAAGTCCAGCTCTCTGTCTTCTCCTTGCCTGCCAGATAGTAAGTAGTTTTTTTTTTTTTTTAAATCATCCTTGCCAGAGATGTAGGTATTTAAGCAGCTCCATACTTCTAGAGAAAAAATCACACAACAATGGTGACTTGTCTTTAATTCACAGGTATAGTGACTTTACTCTTCTTGCCAGGTATAAGATCATTTCTAATTTCCATTGTGCTAAAGGCTTGTGGAAACAACTCTGGATGGTAGACTTTTGATTAGAGACTTTCAAATGCTAATTACTTATCCTTTGCATGTGTATTTTTGGTGAGGGTGCTTCAGATCCCTAGAGTATATATTAAAACCATCTAACTGCTCACTTAGATAAATTTATAGGCAGTATTAACAGTAGACAACTCTGAAGCCAATGGCAGTGATTTGCCATTTTCCTCAGGCTTTGAATTGTATGTAGTGAGGCTTCTCATTTCAGCAATTTAAAGAAAAGATGAAAAGGTTATAGTTTGAAGTTAGTGTTGGGTGAGTGAGCTCTTTCTTTTTGGGCCTCAGTAGAGAAAGTTGGTGATGGTGTTAAAGTTTGGCTGGTGTCTAGAGGGCTTTTGTGGGAGGCAGATACAATCACAGAGGAAAGATTTTAAAGAGTTTAGATTTGGTGCTGGTTGAAGAAATAGGTTGCAGCTGGCTGACAATGAGCAAGGATAGGATGTATTGAGGAACAAATGGGACCAGCAGTCCAATGGGAGACCTTGGACAGGAGGAGGGGGTTAACTTGTAGGAATGTTTCAATGAAAGTTCTTTACTCTCTTTGAATTTTAGAGAGTCCCTTAAAATTTTTAGTTCTGGGGTAAAAGTATATACTAAACAGTAGTGGTATTTGTAGAAGTGTCCAAATGAATTGTTGGGTAATGTTAAGTGTCTACCTTATTTATATTTGGCTATCATGGATATTGTTTGCTGAGTCTTTGAGCCCTTTATAATATGTTGCAGAATGATTGTAGCTTCACCTTTTAATTATAGACAGAGTTATCAACTCTACCAAAATGGATAGAGGTAGTCTTCTACAATTCACTAGGATTATTGGCATTCAATTCTGTTTGGAGGGATAAATTATATTTTTAACTAATCAAAAATCAAACTTACTGCTGGTGAGTTGTTCCTGACTCATAGCGACCCCTCCTTGGGTTTCCGAAGTATATCTCTGTGGAAGTAGATTGCCCAGTCTTCCTTCTGAGGAGTGGCTGATGGGTTTGAACTGCCAGTCTTCTGGTTAACAGTCACATGTCTTAGGCCCTACGCCACCAGAGCTGCTTTAAATTCATATAAGCCAAATGTTAAACCATTAAAGTAGTTGTGCTTGTTGAGTTGTCTTATGATGAGGAGGGTTCATCATCTTTATATTGCAGCTAATGCTTGTTAGAAGTACACTTAGGTTGGTTATTTTTCTGACTTTTGGGCTTCTCATTGAAGATGGGTATCTTTTTCTATCTTTTGGTCAAGATAAACATACCTGTTTGCAATTGCTTTTTCTAAAATACAAATCTAATCTTGACATACTATTGGCCTCAAATTTTCTTGGCCTTACCCATTTGTGTCAGAGTCAAGTTTAAATACCAGTGCTTTCTTAGCATGAAAGGAATTTATGATCTCACACATACCTTTCTCATTTTTACCTCCTGTCAGCTCCAGACCTGGTGATTTAGCTTATTTTAAAGAGATTACCAAATGGATTGTGTTCTCTCAAGGACTTAGGATCTTGGCACTGTGCCTTTTACTTGGAGTGCCTTTCTTTGCCCTTCCTTATGGCTAACTCGTACTTTTAATATGTGGTTTGTCTCTACCTGTCTTGGAAGTTTTTCCCCTGGGTTTAGTTAGGTGCTCTTCCTCTGACCACGTCTGATGTATTCTCATAAAATTTGATTATTCCTACCAAATATCTATCTGTAATTAACCTTCTGTTAAATTTCATAGTAACTTTAAACTTGCCCATTAATCACACTGTGTTGTAATACTTGGTTTTCTTTTTTGTCTCCCCTATTCCACTTAGGATTTTCTTGGTGGTAATTTTTTGTCTCTCTCCAGTACATAGCACAGTTTCTGATGGTTCAGTGAAGGTGATTGTTGAATGAATAAGTATATCATGGTTGTAGTGTGATGGTATGGTAGGAGGTATTAGGATAGCTGGTTTTAATTATGACTCTTCTATTGATTTTTTTCTGTGATCTTGAGTAAATGTATTATTTGTCCATCTTAGTTTTGTAAAATGTAATCTCCAAACCACCTCACAAAATTTGGGAGGTGGTTAAATGAGATACTGAGGTTGTGATTACCAGAGCTCCAAAGGTACAAAGTTGCTGCAGAGGAGCAAACTTCATCTCAATGTGAAAATACTCACTAATGAACTATAATCTCTTATAGAATTAGTCCGTACTCAAATGTACTAACCCCTCCCCCAGCCTATCACATCAGTAGCCTTTAGGAGTATGTCTCTTAATTCTTGGAGAACACCTGACACTAGAATACAGAAGCCTTGCAAATTGATTTCAATGTGAAATTATATCTCTTGCATACTTACTTGAATCAGTCTCTGGAGTTAAGAATAAATGGGAGTCTGAGGTTAGATTAGATAACCAGAAGACATGCTATCTGGATGATAACCAAGTCAGCACCTCAAAGAGAGAATAACTTCAATTTCAAAGGTTAATAGAGAATTCTTAGGAAAATTAATAAAATCTTCAAATGTTTTGAATGACCTTTTATGTGATCACGTTATGCCTGTCAAACACAGATTGTCACTGTGTTGTCATATACTTTGCAGAAAAATTCCCTTCCCCCAATCGTAACAGTTCCTTGTTTATACTAAGAGCTAATGTTGTTGTTGTTGTTATTTGCGGTTGAGTCGCCCCGACTCATAGCGACCCCTCCTTGGGTTTCCGAGGCAGTATCACTACGGAAGTAGGCTTGCCCAACCTTCCTTCCGAGGAGTGGCTGGTGGGTTTGAACCTCCAGCCTTCTGGTTCGCAGTCAAGTGCCTTAGGCACTATGCTACCAGAGCTCCTAAGAGCTAATAGATTTTGTTAAATATAAGTAAAAAGACTTTTAGCTTACAATAATTAGGTAAAATTTTTTTCTTGTAAAAGTAAATTCACTTTAAGTGGTGTTTTTCTTGGTATCTTTATCCTCAGGAATTGAGGATTTCCAATATGAACATTTTCTGCAAAGTATATAATGCCTGACAAATATGACATTATATTAATACTATAAATGATGAGAGCATTTTATTAAACTGTGTCTTTTGGTAAATTTTTTCCAGCACGGACGATCATGTTATTTCAGGCAGGCTCAGCACTTTAGGGAGGCCTAAAAATATTTGCTGGAACTTCGTTCGCTTATGTAGCATTGATTTGTTTACTTGTAATTCAGGTAAAGACAGCATGTAAGGAACATTCAGCTGAAATTCATTAAGGAATGTGTCAACAAAATTAAATGTAACCATGTACTGGAAAGAAATTTAAAAAATTAAATTTAAAATGTTTTATAAATGTCAGATGAAACTGTATTCCATTTTATTTATTTGTTTTTTTAAAGAGACTGTATATTTTGGTATTGTTTTCAGGAAAAGTGGCTCAGAAGTTGCTAATTCCATCCATCCCGTCTTTCCTTTTTCCTTTCCTTAATTCCCTCCCTTCATCTTTCCCTTGTTTCTTCTTTTCCCTTTATTCTCCCTCTTCCTTTCTCCTTCATTTCTGGCAGTCTGTAAGTTAAATTGTAGCATCTAAAGTTTAGAAATATTTTAGAGATAATTGAGTTATTCGCTTCGTCTCCTTGTTGGGTGCTTGCATTCCCTTTTTGGCCAGTAGATTTAACTGTCCAGATTGGCCAGTGTGCTTGGAACCTGTTTAGTGACTAGAAATTCATTCCTGTTGAAATACTCATTTCAATTAGAAATGTTTGTTTCAAGTTTTTTCTTACACTGAGCTGACCTTCTCTGTTTTTATGCATTTGTTCTAGTGCTACATCTCATATGGTACAGATCAGTTCTAATTCATCAACATGTCAGCCTGTGTCAGTCAGGATAATCTCAGTTTTACTGTCTTAATAAACAACCTCTAAGTTTTGGAAGCTTAAAAAACCCCAAAGTTTCATGTTTTTTAATTCATACTTCATTATTATTTACATGTCCTACATGAGTAGGAAAGGGACTCTTCTCATCATTGTCTCTCAGGGATCCAGGCTGACAGAGTAGCCGGCATCTCAGATGTGCCAGAGGGAAAGAAAGCTTTGGCTACGTCTTAACATTGGCAGTAAATCTTCTGGCCCAGAAATGATACATACCACTTGAACTTATAAACTGATTGGCAAAAACTAATCACATGGCCTCAACCCAGCTACAGGGGGCAGTAAGCACGCTTCTACCATGTGCCCAGAATAGGGGAACCAGAAATAATTGGTGAATGGCATTTGTGACTATCTACATAGTCTTTCAAGAATTTGGAGAATTGTCGTTTTCTCTTGCCTAGAAAAAAATTCCTGGTATTTCAACCCATTGTAATGATTTCTAATGCTTAATCTACCTTGACACACTGTAGTTTTTCTATATTGTTTCTAAAAAGGGTATTATCTAGAAGAGAACAAAGTATTCCTGATGGGATCTGACTAGAGCAGCCAGAAGAAGCTCTTTTTTTCTTTAGGCAGTCTAAAATCAGTTTAGTGGTAAACCAAATAGCACTGAAATTAATTTCGTAAGTATCTTTTCTATAGGTGTCGATTTAAATTATATGTTACATGGCTTAAGTTCAAATAGGAAGACAGCTATAGTATAGTGTAATATTGTATAAACTCAATGTCATCAAGTTGATTCTGACTCACAGTGACTTCCATAGTGTGTCCAAGACTGTAAATCTACAGAAGAAGACTGCCTCATCTTTCTTCCATGGAGCAGCTGGTGGTTTCAAACCACTGACCTTTTGGTTAGCAACCAAATGCCTTAACCACTGTACCACCAGAGCTCCCTTATTATAGTGTAATATAATATAGAGATTGAAGTTTTAAGATTTGGGTTCAAGTACTGACTTTCAGGAGTTGTGTTATACAGAGTGTGTTGCTTTTTAGTCCTGATACATATAACTTAACACTATTGATAAGAACATGAATAGAAGTGTTTTGTAGGTTTTATGTAAATTGGTATTAAGTATTAATTAGAAGCATTATCTTATTCTGCTAGATTCACCACAGTTTACTGTTGTTGTTGTTGTTATGTACCCTCGAGTCAAATCCGACTCATAGCGACCCCTCCTTGGGTTTCCGAGGCAGTATCACTACGGAAGTAGGATTGCCCAACCTTCCGAGGAGTGGCTGGTGGGTTTGAACCGCCAGCGGTCTGGTTAGCAAGCAAATGTCTTAGCCACTATGCTACCAGAGCTCCCTGTAGTCACAGTTTACTAGGGACTCAGTATTAAGTTCATGTGTTGATACATGTTAAATAGTGAACATATTATACAGTCCTTATAGATATAGATCATCATGGCATAAATTTTTATATTATCATTGAAAAAGTCAAACTGATGTGCTGCCTCTCATTTGCAGGTAGGGTTCTTTCACAGTCTACTCCTGGAACTCCATCAAAGACTATCACAATATCTGAAAGTGGTGTTATTGGATCAACTTTAAATTCTACAACACAGACACCAAATAAAATAGCCATCTCACCATTGAAGTCACCAAATAAGGTAAAAAAAAAAAAAGAAAAAAGCCAAGTATTATGGTTGATGCCTTTATTTTCTTACTAGTCACTTTAGATACTTCAGTTTTAATATATTTCCAAGCAAGTAATAGGCATGCAGTGGTTACTGGATGAATTTAATAAGTGAGGCTATATGACAGATAAAAAACTTACTTTAAATGCACATTAATAATCATTTTGCATATTAAGATGATTTCCATGGCCCATGTGAATGTGGGTACAACAAAAATCTTTTAAATGAGGTCCATGATATTAAGTGTTCAATTCTGCTCCAGTTAATATTTTAGCAAAATTATTGTCCTTTGGGTAAGGCATATATATATAGTGACTGTATAAATAGAGGATGTTAAATGTATCTTTTTTTTTTTTTTTTAAATACTTGGTGTCTGTACCTTAGACTGTTTTTGCATTTTGGAGATCTGAGCTTTTGCTAGGTAACAGAATACCCAAAGTACTAGAAATTGCTATCAGATGCTAGTAACCATAGTGTCAGTGTTTTTAAAGCTTAAATACAATTTATTCAAAGCATTTGAAAGCTTTTCATAGTTTGTTTTCATTTTAAAGTACCTATCTTTTTATGCTCAGATCACATGAGTATTCTTAGCTTACTTTCCTAAAGCATACAGATAGCATTTTACTAGCATATGTTTTGTAAAAGGTATGGTTTAAAAGACATAATATTCAGGTGGAAAGCCAAGCATTATTTTCTGTAAGGTGCTACAATTATGAGTCTGGAAACATACTGCTCTTTGTACCCTCCTCCTCCTTTCGTTTGTAACTGCTTGTAAATAGAGCAAACATTGAACATTTGCCTTACATTTTTAAAAAGCCTAGCTACTGGTTTCTGTTTTGATGAGGCTTGAATATATAATCTGTTTTCTCTTATAGTTTCTTAAGATAAGATTATACCTGAATAATAACATAGATAATTATTTTCTTAAATGGAATGAATGCAATAGATATTCAACTACTCACTATGTGCCATGCATACTTATAAGCACTGGTGCTTGAATCATTTCTTTTAGAAGGATCAGCACAAGGCTGGTCCCTATCAAGCACAAGCAATGCAATGCACTGCCATTGAGTTGGATCCAAATCATAGTAACCCCTCCTTGGATTTCAGAGGCAGTATCACTACGGAAGTAGATTGCCCAATCTTCCTTCCAAGGAGTGACTGGTGGGTTTGAACTGCCAGCCTTCTGGTTGGCAGTCAAATGCCTTAGGCACTATGCCCTATCAGGCGGAGGTTAAAGATGTCCCAAATGTCCAGCTTTTCCAAACTGCTGTACCACTACATCATCTCTAATACCAACTCCTCCTCTTCCCCGCAGTACACTCCCTCCTTCTTAGTGTTATGTATTTCACTATAATGTCTCACAGAATTCACAAACTGCTAAGGAAATGGATCACATGGTGTTGGAAGCTGGGATGCCGGCAAGTCCCGAGTCTGTGGGACAGGTGTAGATCTGAAGGATTCTCTTCACTAACGTGGTTGTGGGAGCTCTGGTAGCATAGTGGCTAAGGCACTTGACTGCTAACCAGAAGGCTGGCGGTTCAAACCC